TGAGGAAAATGGAAAAAACCGTTTTTTTGGTTGCCCCCCACTTTTTGATTTTCGAAATTTTTTTTATTGTGCTAGGTTGTGCTAAGTTGTGCTAACATTGTGCTAAAGTATTATCTTCGAAAAATAATCATGAAAGGAATAAAACGAAAAAAACGATTTTAGGCAGAAAAGAAGAAAAGTAAGATTTATATTCGTATAAGTCAACCAAACAATATATAATTATATATCTGAGTTGCTCTAGGCTAGCACAAGTCAGGACAAGCTTCAGTTTCGCGAACACTAGAATTTAAAGGGCACTTTACTCTTGACCGCGGCCCTTCGCGCTCGCAACCTATGTCATTAATCACGACTTCTAGACTTTGGATCGACTCAGAATTGCATATCTGAGTTGTGCTAGCCTAGCACAAGTCAGCACAGGTTTCAGTTTCGCCAGCACAAGAATTTAAAGTGCACTTTACTCTTAACCGCGGACCTTCGCGCTTGCAGTCTACGTCATTAATCACGACTTTTAGACTTTGGATCGACTCAGAATTGCATATCTGAGTTGTGCTAGCCTAGCACAAGTCAGCACAAGTTTCAGTTTCGCCAGCACAAGAATTTAAAGGGCACTTTACTCTTGACCGCGGCCCTTCGCGCTCGAAACCTATGTCATTAATCACGACTATCTTATTTACTTCCGTGTAATTTAATATTATCTTCATCAATCAAGTTGCGCATGCGAAAGATTGCGAAAATCAAGAATAAAATACCTTTAATATTTTTGTGCTAGCGAAACTAAAGCTTGTGCTGACTTGTGCTAGGCTAGCAAAACTCAGATATGCAATTCTGAGTCGATCCAAAGTCTAGAAGTCGTGATTAATGACATAGACTGCGAGCGCGAAGGGCCGCGGTCAAGAGTAAAGTGCCTTTTAAATTCTAGTGTTCGCGAAACTGAAGCTTGTGCTGATTTGTGCTAGCCTAGAGCAACTCAGATATATAATTATTTATTGTATGGTTGACTTATACGAATATAAATCTTACTTTTCTTCTTTTCTGCCTAAAATCGTTTTTTTCGTTTTATTCCTTTTATGATTATTTTTCGAAGATAATACTTTAGCACAATGTTAGCACAACTTAGCACAACCTAGCACAATAAAAAAAATTTCGAAAATCAAAAAGTGGGGGGCTACCAAAAAAACGGTTTTTTCCTTTTTTCTCGCTCATTTTTTGTATTAAAAATTTATAATTCGAGCACAATGTAGCACAAACCTAGCACAAATCAGCACAACTGTCAAAATTAATAAATTTGAAAAGTGGGGGGCTAACTTCATACAGGCCGTTATGCAGCTAAACGCTTCAGGAAAGCCCAGTGTCCTATTGTGGAACGTCTTACAAACTCACTCATGATGCACGGTAGAAATAATGGAAAGAAATTAATGGCTGTGCGAATTGTGAAGCATGCCTTTGAGATTATCCACCTTCTCACTGGTGAGAACCCTCTACAGGTGAGGGTTATTCAAATCAATAGTTATTTCAAATCTCTTATATTTCAGTCTATAAATGCACAGTTGAGTATAAAAAAATTTAAATCAGTCCAATTTGAAGATATATTACATTACAATTTACTTTGTTTTTTTTTTAAAATTGATAGCTGTATAAATTTGTATTTGATCATTTTACTGCATAATTGGTGTCACTCTTGGAATATTTGTACTTTAGGTTCTCGTCACAACTCAGGTCATCATCAACTCAGGTCCAAGGGAAGACTCTACACGTATTGGTCTCGCTGGTACTGTAAGAAGGCAAGCCGTAGACGTGTCCCCATTACGACGTGTTAACCAGGCTATTTGGCTGTTGTGCACTGGCGCGAGGGAAACTGCGTTCCGTAACATCAAGACTATTGGCGAATGCTTAGCCGATGAACTTATCGATGCGGCCAAAGGTTCATCAAATTCGTATGCGATCAAGAAGAAGGACGAGTTAGGACGTGTTGCTAAGTCCAACCTATAAACATTCTTTATATGAAAAGAACATAAATAAACAATTTATCTTTAAATTATTCTTCATTTTATTGTATAATATGTTATTCACCTAATCTGGTACTTTCGACTTTCTTTTTCAAAAAAATTTCTTTTATTTGTTATCGAATTGTATTGTTGTTGCCAACAAAATAAGAGCCAATATAGCAAGTTAAACAGAATTGTTAAATTTGCATAAATTAAAATTTAATATAGTTTCACAAAAGCATAATTTCGTAGTTCAATGCACTTTATTGTATATAAAATATTGAGATAATTGTAAAATTGATATTTTAGCATAAACATCTATATATGTCATACGGAATGACTGAAAATGGGCAATAATGTCATCGTACTTCAGTTATTCTCGGGTCACCGAGTCTACTTTTCATGTACGGAAGACTTACGGTTAGCGGTCTTCACTTTTACCTCATAGGTGCTATGACCTCGATCAGAAAGAAGCATGAGAACAGCCATTAGCCTGATTTCAATGGCCAGAGCTAGGCGCATTTTCGAGACACCATCTAACAAAGTGCGCCTTTACTACGTTCGTTAGGCGCATTTTCGCGGTGGTAACGATGAAATATATGATAAGGTGTATTATGAGAAAATAATACGTATAGTATAAATTATAAGTAATGCAACGCAATTTAATGTTATGGGTAAGGTTATCGTGATTCAAATATGAGCGGGAGTAGCCAGAAATTGCCTGACCAATCAAAAACTGCGTTCTTATGGCCAGCTCTTAAGCCAGCGGCACATGGTGCTTGTTTTCGTAGTAGGTGGAAATATTCCATTTTGATTGGTGCATTTCTATCTATCTTCAGAAATACACCAATCAGAACAGAAAATTTTCATCCAGCAAGCCAACCAGCATGAAAACATCGTGTGCCGCTGGTTTTATTAGGCTGCGTTCAGAAACCTACCCTACTCGGTGAGTAGAGTAACATTTAATTAGCCAATCAGGGCAAAAGGAATTAAGATTTATTTATCCTGATTGGTTTATTAAAGTAACTCTACCCATCGAGTAGGATTTCTGAACATAGCTTTAGAGAGTCTCTAAAGCTTGCCAGAAACAGGCGACTCGTAACGGAATTTTTGGAACTATTAGCAGCTGCTCTACTTCACCGGCCGAACATTCGTGTCCGTAATAAGTGGATATTTTGAGGTTAGAATATATACAAGTGAAGCGAAAACTTGCATAAAACGCAAGTGTTAGGTAATTCCTAACGATGGCAGGTGTTCTCAAGAAGGTAATTTCGTGCGAATTCTATCATGAATTTACTTAATTAGAGATTATAACCATCGTAATTGGCATTTACGTTGGATATCTGTATCCCGATATAAATACCTCGTTGCGAAATTTCAGAATTTTTTTTCATTGTCAACATTTTTTGTTTTCAGACCACACGATTGACAGGATTGGTTGTGAGCAAAACTCCTCACCAGGATATAATTCCGGTATATAATAGAATCCTGAAGCTGTTAGATAAATTCCCAGAGAATTATACTTATCGGACAGAAACAGAGAAGCTTGTCAAATACAGATTGAGTGTAGTTGAGAGTGTAAGAATAATATGTGCTATTGTAGTAATGATCATCATTTCCATGTCATCTGATAAACTACGATATTTCATAGAACAAGGATGTACAAACTATAGAGGAAAAAATAGATTGCGGACAGTTTGAGGAACTTGTAATACAGGCTAAGAACGAGCTATCGTTGGCACAACAAATGCTAGAATGGAAAGCGTGGGAGAACTTAATGCAGGAGGCGCCACCCAACCAGTGGACATGGCCACCGCATAAGTAATATTAATTTATTATAGATATTTGTATATAGTGTTGAACACTGATATTGGAGCAAGTGACTTGTAAGTTGCTTAGTGTACAAAAACACAGTATATCTTAACGTGATATGCTGTCGTATAATAAATATATCCCATAACTGTATTCTTAGTCTCGCAGAGATAGATATTATTTCAACGAAATTATGATATCTCTTTCTCTCATATCTTTTAATCCTATTATATATTGTAAAATTCAGCTGCACCGAGTGACTGCAATCACCTATTTGTCAGAATGACATTCCTACTAGGCTTTTCTTCTTTCACACGTGCTAATGCCATGTTTTAAGCGTTCGTCGATTCGTTATAGTTATCATAAAAGTACGATCTGATTGATTCAACGTGACAATCCATTTTCTTCGTGTGATTCCATATGGTAGCGAGGTATACGTAGCACCTGCAGCATGCGCTTTCACGCACTCGATAGGATTAGTGTGAAACGAGGACCACCGTGAGGATAATTCTGAAGTGTAACCAATTACGATTTAGCTCGGCGATTCAAGGTCGACGACGCCAGATGACGCGTCTCGCTAGTAGTACGTAGCAGTACGTGTTACGCGTGAATATTCGATTAATCACAGGTGCCTCGTACGACGTAGATATTTTCATACTTGATCAAGCGTATATGTATAATCCGACGAAATCAATCAAATTCGAATTTTATAGATTTGATGCTGCACACTCGTGCCTGCCGTTACAACGCGACAGATATCTGCTCGAGCATCAGAGACTTAAATAGCGAATATTTATAGAATAATCAGATAATTCCGCGTGGTTCATTTCCCGCATTTTGCTCAAATTCAACGCGAGTTTTGTAGTGTAGAGTATCTCACATTCTGCGTTCCTTTTATTCTTACATTAATGTCCTGACCCTAATAAACCGTTTGTCTGTTCCTCGATGCCGCGGTGGTCCGTCCGAATCGTTTCCCGTCGACCGATCGTGATTGGGCCCCGCGCGCAGCTAAGTGCATCGACGAAAAAACGAGGTGATCAGGCCCGAGGCAACGCAATTTCGTGATCGTCCACCGAAACCTGACGCAGGCGGTCTCTCTGTTAGAAAAATGCGATGCTCACGACTCCATACTCTCGTGCGATCATTAGATTTCCGAATTTATCGCAAAGCAGCCGGTTACACAAACCTTGGACAATTTAAATGGGTCTGATTCAAGCGAATGTGTATACTTGAGTTCTATCGGTCGCCCCGTTATTAATTGCGCGATGATTATAAAGATCGTTCGTAGCAAAATATTGACAAAAATTTGATCGGCTATCGGAAACGTTATCTAGAATATCGCACAGTGATCAACGTGACAGTGTGACGTGCAAACCATTGCACTGTATGCTTTCGACCTACTGAAGTAGAATCTCTTATAACAATCATCGTCGTCGAAAGTGCCGACGACAAGTTTCGTCATTAGTAATAACAGGCTCGTTGATATTTCGCATATTAAAACTTTCTATTTTAAGCATTTTGCGTATGCGCGAATTTGAAAGGTAAGTAGATCGTTTTGATTGGTCGGTTAGCGTCGCTTGCGCGTGTCGGTTCGTACTTCGAGAAACTCAATCGTTGTAATGTTCATGTAATTGTGGAATGGCCGCGGTGCAATAGTCGGCATTGGAAAGCCTCTGCGCGTTTCTCGCGATTTCGGCTCGCCGAAGACGAGGCTCGCGCGTGTGAATAGTAAAGTGTCGGCGAATAGCTGCCGGAATCAGAATCGGGAATGTCGAGAGTGGAAATGATCCTTCGCCAGGTTAGGACGATTTGGAGCTCGACTATTGAACTTCGCTGTTTCGACTTCGCCGCAGGAGTCTCGTACGCGAATCATCGTCGTCGGAAGTGCCGACAGTAAGTCTTATTATTAGTCATAGCAGAATCGTTGATATTCCGGATATCAGAAGCATCTCGAGCATTTTGCATATGCACGAATTCAAAAATTGAATGGAGCGTTCTGATTGGTCGGCTCATTTCGCCTGCGTGCGTCGGCACATACTTCGAGAAACTCAATCGTCGCGATGTTCATGTAATTGTGGAATAGCCGCGGTGGAACAGTCGACGTCGCAAAGCCTCTCCGCGTTTCTCGCGATTTTGGGTCGCCAAAGACGAGTCTCGCGCGCGAATCATCCCCGGGAGGTCGAAAGTAAGTCTCGCTCGTGTGCGTAGCAAAGTGTCGTCGAATAGTGTCGAAATCGGGATCGGGAATGTCGAGTGCGGCAACGATCCTTTGCCAGGTTAGGGCGGTTCGGAGCTCGACCGTCGAGCTTCGTTATTTCGATTGCGCCGAAGGAGTCTTGCGCGTGAATCATCATCGAGAGCGTCGAAAACATGTCTCGCGTGACCATTGCGGTAAAATATCGACAAAACTCAGCTGTCGGGAATGTCGAGTAGTGTCGTACAGTCATCGAGATGCGAACCGTAGCAACGTACGCCTGATGAGGTACAGTCTCGTATAATAATCATAGGCCGATATTCATAGTCGAATCTTATTCAAGACCGTCTTAAGTAATGTCTTAAGATGCGAATATGACTCGGTGAATTGGTTCATGACATCTTAAGACAGTACTTAAAATGATCTTAAATATAAGATCGAACTATGAATACCGGCCATAGACGTGGGGGTGCTGTCGGTAAGTTTCGTCATAGCAGTCTTGTTGATATTTCGGATATCAGAGCCATCTCGAGCATATTACGTATGTGCGAATTTGAAAGTTGAACGGAGCGTTCCGATTGGTCAGTCCGCGTCGCCTGCGCGCGTCGGTCTATACTTCGAGAAACTCAATCGTCGCAATGTTCATGTATTTGTGTAATAGCCGCGTTGCAACGTTCGGTGTCGGAAAGCCTCTCCGTGTTTCTCGCGATTTGGACTCGCCAAAGATGAGTCTCGCGCGCGGGTCATCTCCGGGAGTGCCGAAAGTAAGTCGTATGCGTGACAAAGTGTCGTCGAATAGCTGCCGGAATCGGATTTGGGAATATCGAGAGAACAGTAGCAATCGCTATGGCAGTTCGGAGCTCGATCGCTGAGCATCGCGTTTTTGACTCCGCTGAATTCTCGCGTAGAAGGATTTCAGGTAAAATAAGTGAAGTATCGAAAAGTCATCGAGGAAGGCTCTCTCGTGAAAACGGCCTGTCGAAAGCGCCGAGTAACGTTCGCGCGTTTTCTTCGAGTATCTCAATCGGCGTGGTAGTTAGTCAATCATGCGACAGATTGCAGCGCTGCAGTCCAGATTCCAAAGTCCATTTCACATTTCTCGGAATTTCAGTTCGCGAGCCTCGTGCGCGGTAATCGTCGTGTCGAAAGTAAATTTCGTGCGTCGTAGCGAAGCATTTTCAAGCAGCCAAATATCCCATGACGGTTTATAGAAACGTTTTCGGTGCATTAGAATATCGTGTACTCTAATGATGTTGATAACGTAAAATGTGGCACACATTTCTAAATTCTTTCTGCACACATTTGCTAAGGATATTGCTAGGGAGTTCGGACATTAATTGAAATTGAAGTTAAAGTTCGAAGGACAGAGTCTCGCCAATTGGACGACGCGCGATATCTCGGATCCATCGCGTTCGCGATCGGTGCGCGACGTGAGCGTGCTTATCAAGAGCCGCTTCCCGCGGAAGAGCGCCGTCCTTGCGTCCCCTTTAAAAAGCCTCGGTGACGGTGCGGCGCGACGCGGGCGGAAGACGGGCCCCCGAGGGGTGGATAGAAGAGAAGAGCGAAATGGAAAAAGGTGTACCGTTCTCCGGCGGAGGTAAACGAGCGGCATGGCGCGGGTGGGAGAGCGAGAGCCGCGGTGCGCTCGCTCGTTCGCTCGCCTCCTCCTCAGGGTCCCGATTCCGTGGCGCGGTGAAGGCGCGCTAGGCTCGCGCGGCTCTCGCACTCGCCCGCGAGACGCCGAGCGACAAGCAGTGGCAAAGCACGAAGGAAGAGAAAGAGAGAAAGAGAGAGAGAGAGGCAAGCGCGGAACGGCAGCGCTCACGCACGTCAGCACGCGTCATCACGCATTCACGCACCGCTTTTCGCCCGTCGCCCGTCCCGTCGCCGCCCCTCCTGCGGGTCGCGCGATGTAAACACGGCGGCCGCAGTTCGGCAGCAGGTGGTCGCAGGTGCGAACGCGGTGTTACGTCGCTCGCGCGCTCCGACGACACCACCACTAGAGGCCGCCCGGTCCCCCGAGGAAGTCGCCGTGTTCTCGTCGTCGCGGCGATCGACAGTGATCGTGACACAGTGCATGACATCCGTCCGTTCCCCGCGTTCTAAAGATCGCAGTGCGTTATTACATACCGTTCTTCCGCGAACGGTGCAGTGATCTCTCGTGCCAGCCCGGGTTCGATTGTGTCGGATCGAGAGGGAGACAGAAGAAGAGGGAAAGAGAGAAGGACAGAGGAAAGCCGGTGCCGTGGGAAACGGAGCAACGTCGCGGGTTTATCGGTGAGTGTTGATTTTGCATTTCCCGGCCTAACGACGACACGGGTCGCGTATATCGGAGCAGAACTGCGTGCGGCGGAGTGAGAGAGCGACTCTCTTCCGGGTTCTTCGCGGTGTCTCGGACTTTAGTTTTGGCGCGTGAGCAACGGCGCGGCGTAATACGTAGTATACGCTATCATTAACGCATTGCGCCGCCATCTTCGCGTTGATCATTGAAACCGTTTGAAATTGAAATAGTTCACTTAGTGATTGATACAGGATAGCTGCTTGTCTCATGCCTGCTTCCACACCGAGAAAATCGTGAAAATTTTGTTCGCGCGCATGGAACACAAATTTATTTCACGCAAGTCAATTTCACAAAAATCGATTTTATATCCTATACACATTCGAATTTTCACGTATCTTTTTCTCAATGTACCAACGTCAATTGAACTTCATCTATATTCAAATTCTACTCAAGCACAAACCAAACTCAGATTAAGGTTCAATCGCTGAGAACGAGCGTTCAGTTGACGCTGAGCGAAAAATAGTTGAAAATATATCTGCGGGAAATAAAGATTTTCTCTCTATGTGAAGTAAACTTCGTATCCCACAAATAAGTTTTTCAAACATTTTTTTTCTCTCAGTACACTGTCGTAACGGATCATTGTCGCATCAGCGTGTTGTTCGGGAGAAAGTAACGCGTCGAGTAAGCAATGCGTCAAATAATACGCCGGGCAATTCGATTCCGAGTGACACGAGGGGAATCACGGTGTCGCGGTGCACGTTCGCACGCACGTGTAGTACGTCCGTTGACACACAGCGAGCGTGTTACACGCCCTATTTCCATTCGTACCTTTCGTTACGTGTCTCACGCACGTGTGCGCCGTGTGTGCAGGTACACGCAAGTGTATCGTGCGTGTCTGTGTGCAGTGCTCTGCGACGCACAGGTGGTATCCGCGCGGAATGTCGCCGCGGGTTAGCCGCGATTAGCTTTTCGACGGTCTCGCGTGACGTTGGCATGCTTTCGCAAAGTTTCTCGCGCGCCGTGAGACATATTCTCACGCGGCCGGTTAATTCCTATCGAATACGTCAATCATCGAGAGCCATTAGACGCACTTTTAGATGGACGTCGCAGGACGTATCATACAGATAGAATGTTGCGTCTTTATGTCGCGGAACGCCGTCTGTTGCCCTCACACGTCGCTCGGACGAGACGTCCGAACAGCTTCTCTCGACGCGCCGGACAGGCGCGCTTGTCGATGATGGACTGTCTTGGATTTTTAAGCCGTACGTTTGATTAATTGCATGGTAAACAGCGGGGACGGCCGCAGACGACGGAAGGGCGTGATATGGAATAGGCAATGAAAAGGGGAAAGGCGAGATGAGAAAAAGAGGAAAAAAACGGCGCCATTTCTCAGTGTTTTTCTTAGTGTAGAAGCAGGCATGAGTCAATCAACTGGCTGAGTGAACTATTTCGATTCGAATCTCAGATTCAAGTGGTTTCAATTATCAACGCGAAGATGACGGCGCATTTTTTCGCGATTCAGTTGAAGCTGTCGATCGTTTCTTTGATACAGTGATTTGCAAAACGGTTTAAACACAATGAGGTTGAGAGCTCGCTAGATTCTCAAAATTCAGAGTCATTACCGACAGGTTTGCCCAGTAATTATATTATTCATTTGTTTTAGTGTTCTTATTATTTCATTTAATCATTTAAGAGTCATTAACACAATCATGACGGACGAATTTTTTTGCCAGCTGACAGCTTCAGATGTTAATTTTGCAAATTTTTATCGTTTTCGTCATATATTGAGTAATTCGTTGTTGCATATATTTTGATTAAAAGCATTTGTATATATATATATATATATATATATATATATATATATATATAATTTTACTCAACTAATGTACGCAAACTTTGCAGGAAAAAGTCAGTATTCTGTCGATTTTCAAGTTTTCAAGTTCATAGCACCCCTTTAATTACATTATGAACTATATTATTATTGCGCAAGTACGTCCGTGATGACTCTGAATTTTGACAGTTTAGCGAGCTGCCGACTTCCTCGTGTTTTGCAACTCACTGTACATTCCGAAACGGCGGACCACGTTTAGTTATGTAGCCGCGCTCGTTACAGCACTCCGTCTATATGCGCCCTGCACTCGCGCACGCACGCACGCACGCACGCACGCACACACGCACGCACACACGTGCGGGACAGTATCGCGTGCGTGCGAAGTTACGGAATGCGCCGGAGAATTTTCTTTGCGTGCGGTCGCCAATTTTTATCGCTGCGCCGGTAGCATCTCGCCGAGGTGAAAATAGTTGTTTACCTATAATAATTCCACGGGTGATCAACCTCCGAGACGGTTATTGCGACCGCCCGCGTTATGGGAATAACGCGCCTGATTATCGTCGTGATTTACGGGCCTTAAAACGTGGGAAAGCCGCCGCTTTTTGCAGCGCGCAAAATTTTTACTCATCTAGACTAACAACCGTGTGTCCCGGAGTCGCTCGGAAAAAGGAGAAAGAAAGAGAAAGAGACATTCGCGCGCTCAAGGTTGCCGTTCGGCATTATCCCTGCGAGAATTCGATGAGACGTTTCTTCTTTCCCGGCTTACTTGAGAGAGAAACGTAGCTAACTAATTAATTCTCCGGCAGTTGGGAGTCATCAGAAACGTATCTATCTCTCGTAATCTATCTATCTTATGAATAACCATTGTTGTGGCAGCGCGAGTTCGCTACTTCGCGAAAAAACGTGAACCTGCACGTGTCGTCGATTTTCATTCTTGCATGCGTCTTATGCGTGTCTGGCAGAGCTGAGTGCGAAAAGGGCCAAGTATTGTTACTTGTTAAAATCACGAAATTGAACTCGCGAGGATAAATTCGAGACTACCGTATTTGGAGTAATTATTCGGGCAGTAAGGCGCGTCGAATCGATAGGAGCCGCGTCGAATCGGCAAATTGCACGCACTTCGACAGCGCTTTTAATTGTTGGGGCAAGGTGAGGCAGGTGCGTCGCGGTCTCTCTCTCTCTCTCTCTCTCTCTCTCTCTCTCTGTGTTTGTCTCTGCCTCTCTCGAAGAGAGAAGAAACGGGTTGAGCGCGGCAGATCGCGGCTGGCGCTTTCAGATAAAAAAAAGAATAGTCTCGGCGGCTCGCGCGCGGACGATATCCTAAGACGGAAAACAATGCCGACGTAGACGAGCATCTTTCCGCTTGCACCCAAACACAATGCGCGATTTTTACGAGCGCCGACGCACGAGGAAAGACGCGCGCGCGCGTTATGGCCCTCGCCGCGGTATAACCGAACGAGGAGCGGCCGGACGGACGGACGCGTGGAAAAATTTCGCGCCGGCAATATCCTCGATACGAGATCCCGCCGTGGCTGGACGGCTCGCCTATAAATGTCGCATTCTCTGCCGCGGACACGCGACTTACTGCATTTCGGAGCCTCTCGTTTCCTCCGCGCGCCGCATTCTGCGAGCTTTTCATTCCGCATTTATTGTTCGTGTATTCGCCGGGGCCGTGATAAATTAAGTCGGAACGCGCGCGACCTCGGGCTCAGCCGGTGATGTTACCCGCGAGACAGGTGGTCTCTCGCAAATTTCTTTCAAGTGATCTGTTCTCTTTTTCTCTTCTCTTGTATTCTCGCACGCGTGCGAAGATTATTATAGTCTGTATTAATAGTCGTCATTTTTTAAACTTGTCTCAAACGAGATATTCAGATTTTAATTCTCCGAGTTAGATGAGAGTTTTTCAGTTGAACCGTGATTACAGATATTATGTCATACATGTAATCATAATTTAATTGAAAAACTTGGGTCCAAGTCTCTGAATAAAAATCTGAATATCTCGGAAAAGAGAGTTTGGCTGGATCAACCAAATGTCTGGTGAAGTATGAATGAGCCAGAATTTTGTTCAAATTAATTAACGAGATTAACCAAACAAGATTTCTGTTTAATAAGTCCTGAAAATCTGATTCGTTTATATTTCATCGGATATTCGGTTAATTCAGCCAAATTCTTTTACACGTGCACGAAACAAGTTTCCAGTATTGATACAAGCCTATGACTGATATCGCGGTATCTCATTGCAAAAGTCAGGCAATTCGTCTTTTGACGGGAAAATTCTTTGTTGTGGTACTTCCGATCGAGAAGATCGCAAGAGAAAAACTCGCGAAACGAGCACGTCTCGCGACGTAACGTCGGGGCGATGATTTTCGGCCGCGATCTGTCGATTATTTGGTAGAACCGCGCAGACCGGAAGCGACGGTAACTTTCTCGCGGATCTACGATCTCTGGCCGACCAAGTATGGAAAATGACTGCGGAAAGATAGCCCCTCTGCATTGGTGGAACGTTAACGTGCCGTGACGTTGCCCCGTTAGAGCACTCGCCGGCCTACCATCGCGTTCGCGTCGATCGTGAACTTTATTTACACTCTGTCGTGCCGAATCGTCGCCCTCCGTATCTCTCTCTCTTTCGCGACCGCGATAACCATCTTTCACGAAGTTACGGTACTCGCCGCACCGAAAACCGTATTCCGCCTCTCCCCCCTTGCCCCCGAAAAATCTCATTATTCACGTCGGCGATGTCCCTTTTCACACCTCGCCTAATTTAGCATACAGGTTAATGAGGCACTGTACAAGACGCCGACAATTCGTGCGACCGTCTCGTTGTCGGCTGACAAGCGTGCGTGTTACTCCGAATCGAAATTTTATTTCTATTAGTCCTGCAAATTAATTTTTTTAGATATTTTTGTATCTGAGTCGGGAAATTTAGGATAACGCTGTAGTAGTCCGCCATTATTTGCTAAATTACAACTTGTCAATTATCTCTTCATAAATTAGTATTATGATGATCTGTATTTGTACTTATTTTATTTAAGAAATAATAGATACTTAAGAAATAGATATTTAAGAAATAATATAGACTCAAACGGAACAGAATAACAGTTCATAAATACGAGTTTATAATTAATTATGACCTGAGGTGTATAGCTCATGCGTATAATCGTCTTA